GGGAGGGGGGGGGGCACTATGGGGCCCGGGAGTTGATCTACTTCTGATAGCGATTGTGATAACGTTGACAAAGTGGAGAGAGGCCTGGGAGGCCCGTCAACGCAAAGGTTTCTGCTCGAATCGACACAGCATATAGACTTGTTATGTTTCTGATAATCACTTGATTACTACGTAATTTCGTTATACCCACCCACGCCCCGCGAGACCTTTTTTTTTTTTTTGCTGCTTCATGTAAAGGGTAGATGCTGATGTAATTCCGATTCCTTACACTAATCACCATACAATGAAGACATGGACACAGAGGAGTGGGTTGAGCAGAGCTCATCCATATCGCGGACGTATGACGAAAACTGATCCATTGTGGGGGAGGGGGGGGGGTGTTGGTAGTTAACGGGGGAATATTTGCTATATTCATAGAAGCAGACCGTTTTTCTCTTTTGAGAGGGACAACAACTGTCAATTTGAGCAAAGTAGTAGTGATTTCGGATAATCAGATAACTTGGAAGACTGGAATGACTGGCAAATCTTATCGGGTACATTTTTATAATCTTAAGGTCTTTAAGAAGGATACACATGTTTATATAGCTGTTCAGACGCGCATTATTATCACGAAAAGTAATATTTGTCCGCCTGTGCATTTAAAATCACATGACATGCAGAATGCTTGAAATGTGCTTGACATTCTCGACTTTTCAGAAATAGTTTGAAAATGAGGTTAAGCCCTCATAGTACATGTATGATAAGCACTCACTCTCGTCTGCTTTTTGTAGTTCACAAGCTGGTCAGCAGCGGGATCGCTCTTGCCCGACATCTTGGCGCACTGGGTTAAGGAGACAAGTAAGCCGACGACGTGTTCTTGGCGACTGCCACTGGAATACAGCGACCGGTTCGGCTGCTAGTTGTATATAAACCACTTGCCGTATGTGTGAGTGTTTGCACGTGTGTGTAAGTGTGTGTGTGTGGCGGCGTCAGGCAGGCGGCACCGTGGGGCTCCCGTGTGCCCTCCGACCATTTCCGACCCCCCCCTCCCCCGCAGGCCCCGCAGCCCCGCAGCTCCCTCGGCGTGAGCGAACGCACCCAAAACAAACAAATGAATTATGCGGTAAAGTCAGCTGTTGTTTTGGTGTTATTAAAAATCCACAATAACTATGTTAATACCGTATTGCGTAAATATCAGCCTTTTCTCGTTAAATAGTCTTGAGTTGTACATTTCTTGAATATTTTTTGTGTTTTGATCTAGGTGAATGAAGCATCCGAAAATTGAATAATTCTATTTTCTGTTGTGCAACAAATGATGGCAATGTGGATTTGCTAGAGATATATACTTTTCTACTCTTCAGAATGGAGACAAGTAAAAGAAAACACGGCTGGATTGTGAGGCATTCGAAATCGAGGCCTGGAAAGATGTACTATCATAATACGCTTACGAGGCAGAGCACGTGGACTCGGCCCGAAGAATTCGTCGAGGTTAGCTTTGTCTTCTACTAACAGTAATATTTTTTGGTTTCTGGCCATCATAATGTGTTGCCTTGAAATTCTGATTTCAAGAGCGTTCAAGTGCTGGTTTGTACGTGCTAACTATTTGGCTTGCGTTATTGTCAGGCTTTACATTGTTTGAAATCTCGGTTTTGGCATTCCCTCCGTTGTAACTTAGGGTAGGGCTTTGTCGAGAGCCGAGCTAGTCGCGAGCGAGCTGCAGCGCGTCGGTTGGCGAGCGTCTTAAAGATATTTCAACTGGGAAGTCTAGTTGCCTCGCGGTGAGGGTAGCGCTGACATCGCAGTGTGGTAATACGGTTGCATCTCGAGAACTGAACATCGTATCGGGCTATTTCATGTGAGAAGTAACAACGTCTACCGATTAACCAACAGGTTGTACTGTACATCGGGTTACGGATGTCTCTGCAAACGTAAAAATGTACAGATGAAGATGTCAACTAATCGTCTTCCCAAATATCTCCTCAAAATTATTTCTTCACAACAGCATTTTTTAATTTTTTTTTTGCTCAAAACCAATCCTTTTAATTCTGGTGCTTCTCCATTGTTAAACATACATGGGTTAGGTCTCTTTGCAGTTAAATGTATTTGCAATAAGCTCACATTTCTGCTTGCTGATCGCCCGCTTGATCAAATCCCATCTTCTTGATATATTGCTCTATTTTTCAGAGAGACATCCAGTCTTCTAAGGTGTCCCCAGAAAAAAAAGGGCACAAAAGGCACAGAGGGCGGTCTTCAACTATTTCATCAACATCTACGACTGGTGAAGCCACTGATGAAGTCACTCAGCAGGTTGAATCAAATGAATATTTGGGAGTTGCCACTACACGGGAAATATTAAGTGCTAGACGATCTAGCCAGGAACATAGTAATCCCACAACGGCGGAGAGTTCTGAAACCAAGCAGGAAAGTTCGAACTCTCTCCAGGGCAACAAAATGAGGAAGACAATCAAGGCTGTAAGGAGAAAGACCAGAGAGGGTGATCAAGATGCATTGGCATCTTCTCAGATTGTCAGCACCTCAATGAGGAGTGAAGAAGGTGTTGACAATAATCATTTCGACACACCTAATAGGGTCTTAAAGTCACCAACAGCCGGTAATGGTCAGTATTAGATGATATGCTTTAAATTTACGTTTATGGACAGTTCTTTAGTGTAAACTTGCTGAAGATGTTGTGGTAAACAATAGATTTTTTTCTGTACATTCAGAGAAAATGTCAAATAAACAAGCAGAACCTCGCCACCTCAAGGAAACCCCTCCTAGTTCAAGTTCTCTCCTCTCCTCTCTCCCTCCTGGGCCAATTCAATCAAGAAAGAGGAGATACTCTAAAAACCGTAAGTTCTGCTTCACTAATGTATATGTGTCAATATCATTTTAGATTGGACTTACTGGGGTTGTTACAAGTTGTCAATGTCAGGAAATGTTAGTAACTTATCTTTGGGTCAGGTAAACTCTGTTAAAGTCACGGGAAACAGAAGAAAGGGCACATAAATTAGTATATTTTCTCAAAATCATAGTTTTACTAGAAATATTTTCTTTATTTTCACATGTATGTTGCAGAGTTTTGCTTGTCTAAGTTCCTTTCAATTTTAAGAAAAATTCAGTAAATTACAGAAATCTTATTCTTGTAACAACCCTGAAGCATTTAGGAAAGGAAATATTTTATACCTATTCCATTGTTTAAAGTCTATGTATGTCCACTAACAGTTGCTGAAGATAGGCTTCACACTCTCCAGCAAAAATTGAAGGAGGAGCGGGAATCAAAGCAAGAAGTGTCACAACATCAAACCTGCCTTGGTAAATTTTCCAGGACTACATTTGGAATCTTTTTGTTGCACTATGTGTTTTTACTGTAATGTAATTCTGCTGTGTCAATGTTGGTTCTAGATTCCAAGGAAAGAAAAATAGTTGAAAAAAACTATGAACCTATGGACTTTGAATTTGAAGTTATTAATAATGTAAGTTTATCTGTATATTATAGAATAGAATAGTAAGTATATACTTTATATTATTATTCTAGATTAGTACTCAATGGACCATGTATTTTTGCACACACATTTCAGATTGGAGAGCTACGCCAACAAGATGCTGGATTACAGCTGACAAAGCAACCTATTTTCATGGATATGGACATAGATCATTCAGTAAACATTGCAGAACCTGAGCTAACTTTTTACGTAGTTTTGGACACAAATATTCTTCTGTCGCACCTAAAGTTTGCTGAAGAACTTCGTGATACTGTGGTTGCAGGTTGGTTAGTCAGTCCGTTGCAGTCACTTTGCCTTGTCATGAAACCAAATTCTAGAATCCTTTTTTACTTTTACAGGTAAAGGACCGGTTCACTTATACTTGCCTTGGCAAGTTCTTCATGAACTGGACCACTTAAAAGATAAAGGAAAGACCAGCATTCAACCTCTTGCGCGCAGAGCAATAAATTATCTACATCAAAATTTCTCATCAAAACACCCACGTGTTTGTGGCCAGAAAATAAGGTGTGCAACTGATGACTCATCGAACTCCTCCCCTGATGATAATATATTAGAGGCTTGTCTTCAGTTAAAGAGGCAGGGTTTTACAAACGTTGTAAGTATTCTAATTTGATGATATAATTAATTTTGAACTGTAGTCAACCTCATTTCACCCAACTTCTGTTGTATATGTACATCCTGTTCCTTTTATTTTAGGTTCTCTTGTCAAATGATGTAAATCTATTAAATAAAGGACTAGTGAATGACATCCAAGCTCTTTCCAAAGATGAATTTGCCCAGCAGTTGTGTGTAAACAGTACACACATTTCAGCTGGCAGTACTGCCTCTCAGAATCTACCAGAACCTACCCGTAAGTTTTACAGTTACTGAGTGTTGACTGTGAGTATTGTGTACTCAAATAAGTTACATTTAAAGTTTCAGATGAGGTATGTGCTGGAAACAATAATTTTAAAACAGATGTCGTACTAAGTGAGATGAAATCTGTTTTAAAAGATTTTTTTACAAAGGTAAGCATAACTTCCATCACAACATGGCAAATTTCAAGCCGTCATAGGTACTTTTTGATGACCTCTTATTCTAATTTCCCCTTTTAGATTGTGTCTAAGGGAATGGAAGAAGAGTATAAGTATCTTTGGGAGAAGCGGACAATTATACCACCTCCCTGGAATGTTGAACAAGCTTTACAGTGCCTTTCTTACCATTGGATGGCAATATGTGGTAGCTTTATCCCACAAGTTGTTAAAAAATGTACTGAGGATCTGAAACATTTCTTCAAAGTAAAAGCCAAATGTTTGTGTCTATCATTATTTTTTGTTTTAGGTACTATCACATTTCTTGTTACTTAAACCTAATGTAACCTTTAATATTTCCAATTGTAGGTGATAGGATTACTGTTGCAGACCTTAAGAGCGGGATTGGGCTTGCTGAATCTTTGCTTGAATCTATTCCTAAAAAGTACAAGAGTATAGTTGTCCCTGCCCTCCAAAACATTAAGGTATACATTTCCCAGTTTCTTTCTGTAATTGCCAATGTAAAAATCTTTCCTTCATATGTATCTATTGATTATGTCCTACTATAGACCATGCTACTGAAGTTAGATGAAGCTTTCAGTCCAAGGAAAGATGAATCTTGTACAGCGTCTACAGAGAAATCTGATTTTAAGTATTCAACTTTACTCACATGCTTTGAGGAAGCTCTTAGTGCTGCACGAAGCCTCTGGTAGGAAATTAGTCCGTAAATTCTCAGTAATTGACAACTTACAGTGGGTAATTTATCACTTTTAAATTTGCAGTGATCCTATCGCTGTGTCTCAGCCAGATTGGAGGATAAATGTTGGATGTATGATTGAGGCTTTGCAGAAACTTACTCATCTTTTAAACTTGTAAGAGTCTATTGATATTGTTCCCTTTAACACTTTAATATGTTCACTGAAAAATGTTTAGGTATCAATTTGTGAAAACATTGGTTTGACTGATTTTATTTAGATTACTTCAGACCACATTTGAATCTTTGAGTGACGAGCACCCAGTGGTGGTTGACCTGGTTAAACTAATCAAGGGGAATCATCAGATAAGCGCTCAAGACCTCATTAATTTTATTAAAGAAGATCGTAACCGGTAATTTTAAAGGGCTCAGTCTTGTTGGCCATTTTTATCCTAATCACATAATACAAAATTTTCTCTCTTTTCAGAAACTTGTTGGAGGTTGGAATACAACAGTTTGAAGATGTTTCCACTCATTTGACAAAAATGGCTCACTCCAATATTATTTTGTAGGAATGATGTGATGATGATTTAAAGATCATCATGGCTGTGATGTTTTTTATATAGATTATATAATATGATGTTATACATTTGATAGGGATCCTTCCCCTCTCCTGTTTTATACATTTTAGTCATTCTGAAAATCATATCAACTCTAATAATGAATAATGAAATGTACTATCAATTTTAAGTATGCTAATATAAGTTCAAACAAGGTATTCTATGTGCCAAACAATACATTATTCATATTTGTGTAGTGTTATGATGATTGTTTTGCTGTGCTGTTCCCTCAGGTTTGTTATGAATTTTACCATGTCCAACACTTATTGTTTATTGGTTTAGAGTATTTTTGTAATCAAATACTGTTCTATAAGGATTTTACAATCAGCTCTGCTGCTTATTTTTTTAAACTTGTATTTTGTCTCAAGAGACTGATATTACAACTTTGATAATCAATTTTATTTGATTTTGAAGCATTTGTTAGTCCCATTGGCCTCTCTGCATTGGACTCAAGAGAATATGCCAAGGACTCGGCTCCGCACTGGCGCCGCTGGGCCGAACAGTCGATGCCAGGGAAAGGGTGGCCCGGTCGCCTGTGGTTCCTCGGTGGCCTCCTCACCCCCGTCATCGTCTCCTGCCACATGACTCACGGTGCTCTTAACATCCGCGTTTTCCAGAGGTACGTCGACAACGGTCCCAGACTCGCTGGCCTCTGTGGTCGCGTTGCACACCCTGATGAACAAGTCGTCGTCGCCAGGCCTCACCGGCATTGGCATCGGGGGAAGGACGGTCACGTCAAAACGGTGCGTCGATATCCTTCCACCTTCGGGGAAAAAAATATGTATCGTGAAAAAGTGGGCCGCTTGTTGAGGTGTTTAGTGGCGCGCACTTTAGAGCCCTACCGCCCTCGTCCTCGTCGCACAGGTACAGCCCTGCGTCCCCGGGCACCGCGTCGTACACCAGCAGCGTGCCCGTGTCGTCGTTGGCGAGGTACTTGTGGGCGTCCTCGAGGTTGACGGCGCTGCCGTTGCGCCTCCAAGTGCCGTTGACTACGGCGCAGTCGAGTCGCAGCAGCCCGCCCTCGCGGAGCGTCACTCTGCACGGGGCCTTGTGGCAGCTGCGCCGCTCCTCGCCGGCACCCAGGTGCGCGCACTCGGCGGCGTCCAGGGTGACGTCGGTGCCGTCGGCGCGCCTCTGCGAGCACCGGGCCTGTCTCCACTTGGCACCGCCGCCGCACGTCCGCGAGCACTGTGAGTAGGACAGGGGTCACTTTGGTCACTGCACTGCACTTTTGCGGGACACCTTGAGTCTTGGGATCCTTTTTCTGCAGAGAGGTCCAGGCCCAGCCAAGTTAAGGTACTCTCTTATTGGATACCCCTTGCCTGGGCCCCTCTGAAGGGGAAGGGTCCCAAAACTCAAAGTGTCGTGCAAAAGTGCGACACCCCAGATTTACAGTATAGAGGCCAGGGACACGTACCTTGATGCCGGTCCAGGCGGGCCACTCCCACGCGGGCGGGCAGTCCACCCGGTTGCAGGCCTCTTGCGGGGGCGGGGGCGGCCCGAGGTCCTCGCAGGCGGCGAGCGGCAGCTGGGCCTCGGACTCGCTGTCGACACAGCGCACCGCGCGCTGCCGCAGGCCGGCGGGGCCGCACGCCGCCGAGCAGCCGGAGAAGGCCGAGGCATCGTACCGGGCGGCGGGGACGCCTGAGGGACAGCGGTGTTTGAACCGGCGCTGGTCACCATGCTCACAGTGCTTTGCGGCTCACTCACTGATCTCGCCGTCGAGGCTCGAGCTGGAGGTGCTGTCGTCGTTGTCGTCGCCATCATCGCCTGCTGGAGCGTCCGTGGCGAAGGCCTCGACCTCGCGCCTGCGGACCGTGCGGCGCGCTAGCTGCTGCTCCACCGGCAGCTGCTCCGCTGGAGGTTGCTCCGCTGGGGGCTGCTCCGCTGGAGGCTGCACCGTTGGAAGTTGCTCCGCTGGGGGCTGCTCCGCTGGAGGTTGCTCAGCTGGAGGTTGCTCCACTGGAGGCTGCTCCGCTGGGGACTGCTCCGATGGAGGCTGCTCTGGCCCCAGGCCTGGTGTCGTGGAGCCGGCGGCGCTCCCCGTAGACTTGTCGCCCACGGCGCTGCCCGCCGGAGCAGTGGCGGCTGTCGCGAGCAGCGAGTTGTCGGCGACCTCGTCTATGTTGGGGATCTCGGAAAGCGAGGTGTTCTTGGCCGAGGCAGTTACCTTCGCAGGAACTGTGGGGTGAGCAGAAGGGCCGGGACCGGCGTCACTGGTCTCTTCGGTGGCGTCCTCGGGGGAGTCGTCAGGGTCCTCCTCGACCTTCAACGGCCGTCTCGTCGGCGCGGGCTCCCCGGGTACCCGCTCCAGCTTGACTGTCATGGTGTGCGATCGACCTGGGAGGGCAGACCGGAACAATCACGGGCGCTCACTGACAGGGATAAAGGTTACAGTCAGTGACCTGGTTGGCGACGCGACGCACCCTGGGGGTTGGCGGTCAGTGACGCGCACTTGTATATGCCGCTGTCGGGCTCGTCGGCGCCCTTCACGCGCAGCTCGCCGTTGTCGGTCTGCGTGTACTTGTCCTCGTGGAGCGGCAGCCTGCGCTCGTCCTTGAACCACGCGTACTTTCTCCTGTCAGATAGTAAAAAGTTGCGTATTTTTGTTATTGTTAAAAAGTGACCATCGCATCGCGTTTTTTTTCTCTGTTACTGAAAGTCGCTTACTTGGACCGGTCATCAGCCGGCGTCCAGAAGACGTGGAACGGGCAGCGCAGGGTGAACTTGGAGAAGAGGCGGATGCGCCGCGGCTTCCTGTCGTCCGAGGTGCGCAGCCAGAGGCGGCGGCCGTCGGGGCACGGGTGCAGGTTGCAGTCGCGGCGCTCGGCCGGCCGCAGCTGGGCCACGCACTGGGCGTCGGGCAGGGGCACGGCGAGCACGGCGAGGGGCGCGCCGGAGGGGGCCGCGCCAGCGCCCTCGGCTCCTCCACGGCCCGCGCCCGCGTGGCACTCGACCACCCGCGACCGCTGCCCTCCCCCGCACTTGGCCGAACACTGTCGGTAGGAACAACCCCTACTTAAGTGACTTAAGTTTGCAGAGATAGAAAAAACCGTAACGTTGAACAAATGGACGGAACAAATTTTGAGCAAGTGGTTGGTCATTTTGGCACTGCACTTGCGCTTTAACTAAAATACAGCGTGATTTGTGCATGCGATCATCCCGTAGGGCGCAAATGCAGTTTGAAGTGAGCGCCTTGTGCGACCTGGCGGCCTCGTCCACCGGGCCGATCGGGCCGCTATAGGTCGCGCTTTGCAAGGGGTTGTCGGGTTGTCTACCGACCAACCAAGGTCCAGGCAGGCGCTCACTTGAAATCGCATTTCTGTCCCAACAGATAATGGATCATCCAGAAAGTACGTCCGTCATTCGTCGTTACAAAACTGCCACGTCCAGCCTGTGCAAGCTATCGTAGCGCCTGGTAGGTAGGCAACATCTTGCCTTGAGTGCATGCGTGTAGGGCGGCGTAGCCTACCCCGAGTTTCGCAGGCGCCAAGCTCCCCGTAATGTGGTAATGTGACGAATGAACCTGAGAATAAACGAACGCACTTTCTGGGCGACCGCTAACAGGTCGACTGCCAACCCAACTGTCCCAAATCAAATCGTTTTGGATTCCGTATTTGGCCCGCCAGGGCGTACCTGTCCCCAGTCTCCCGTCACCCACGCGTTGGCGCACTCGGAGCGGGACTGGTAGCACGGCCTGGTGCCCGTGGGCCTGGGCGGCGCGCAGAACCCGTCGGCGGCCACGAGCAGGGTGCCGGACACGTCCTCCAGCACACACGACACCTGGCGCTGCTCCTCGCCGGCGCCGCACGGGTTGCTGCACGGCTCCCAGGACGCCGTGCTCCACCGGCCCGCGGGCTGGTGCTGCGGGCTGCTGGGCGGCCGAGGCCAGGGCTGGCCGGGCTGCGTCACTGAGAGCGGCGAGCCGTTGTTTCGTTACGAAAAATGCCGCCGGAGTTGACGTTATTCCAATCTAGGTTTTGATTAATTAGTACATCACACTCACAGTTGGCGAATGCGAGCAGCGCCATCACAGGGAGGGGCATGATTGTCCCCGGTAGCATGGTTGTTGTTATTGGAGCACTCCTGGTTGGACCTTATGGACGAACATATTCTTCTCTTTGCCGAGTCTCTGAAGTGTCTGCCGCCACACAGCTTCCTGTTTCTCTTCCCACTCTCCAATACCCCCCCCCCCTTTCCCCTTCGCGTCTCTCATTATTTACGTTATCGGAAATAAGTCGGCCGCCTATAGCATCGGGATCGGCAGGGAGAGATAGTGGTGCTGCATGCATTTATCTGCGACGGGTGGTGGGATAGGGTGATCGTGAGTTTCAAAGTCGGTGTCTAAATCTTAAACGAAAACCGCCGATTTTCACAACCAACTCGTTTAACTTTGTCCTATACGTCGTCAATGCATTGACTCGTGGACCTGGCTGGGGGCAGGCCAGACCGTACGATACAGGTGCTTAAAAATTGCACGGACCCGAGTTGACTCGTGCGAGGCGAGGGGACGTGGGGTGTCGAAAGTTTCCTGCCCCTTGTCTGAATCCCTCGCACTAGGGCGCTGCTGGCGGGCTGCCGGCTTCACTGATCTGTTCGGCGGGTTGGCCTACCCGGCATGTATAGGTTTTTATGAACCGTGGAATAACGTTGAAGGTGGGGACACCTTGCTGATGATTTTTCATGTCGTCTTTCTAGTCTCGCGACGGGCCAAGTCGGTAAGACTGCTACACATAGAAGGGTGGGGTGGGCAGGACTGCAGGAGCTGCAGGACTTGGATCCTGCAAGACCCGTTCGAATCCGCTTGGGGCCTGCCGGCCTCCGGCTTGGTTTGGTTCCCACCCCGCCCCCCTGCCCTTCCCGCTGTACGCCC